TTCTTTGAGTCACAGCTCCCTTACTCCTGAAGAGATGGCATCAGAGATTGGCTCAAAGGATAAAAGAAGGTTGTCGACTACTTTAGTAAATATTTTTCCGAAAATTGATTGATTTGAAAAAACTTAGAAATGATTTAAAAAGTCTCCATTTTTATTTATTTGCCAACCTAGTAAAAGGAATTTTCCTATTCGGAGGCAATCCAGATTGTTTACAGAGCTCTATTGCTCCACAACTTAATTTTAATTACTCATGACACTTAATTGCTCTCTATGAAATAATAAAAGCAGGAACTGAGCTGCATTCATGAGAAACAGGAGGTTTTAAGAAGCAAAAGCAGAAACTCAAAACAACCACAGTTCTAAAAAGTTGATACGGAGGTAATATTTAATATTACACCTCCACCACTGTGAGCATTGTGAAGAGAAACTTCATTCCGATGAGCCCGGACGATTGTATCCCTTCACTGCCTCCTGAGGCACGGTTAACAAATCATCACAACCGCGAGGTAAGAAATTTCCAAACGAAGTTCTGTTCTTAAGTGTAACAATAACTGACGTTACAATGAACCTTTCCACTGTTGACTGGACTTAAATCCTGAGAATGAGTATTGATAGTTATGGAATCATTGGAAACAAATATCTTTCTCTTGCTACGGTGATATGGAAATATGATGAGCGAGCACGCTACATATATTCAAAGTAGGCGGTGTGGTTGGGAATGAGAGGTGCAATTCGCAACGTTTAGCTAGTCAAGCTCCGAGGTCCTGCTTATAGGAAAAGAAGTACAATATTTAGTGCGTGGTATCAGTTAGAGGCCAACAGAGTGAGCGCAGCTTCGCCGGAGTACCTTGGTGTTCTGCGGAGTTAACAGAGGCGTTGGAAGGAGGGACAAGTGGGGTTGAAAGTAGTAATACTGTGCGGGACTGATTGTATATTTACTAACTGGTACTTTTGACCTTATATTAATTACTAACATGTTTAAGCTTGACAAAAACGGTGACTGTACTGGAATCGCTGAATACATCCCAGGTCTTACCGAAATCGTCCACACGGTATGGTATGGAACCGTTTTCCGTTTCTATATCAGGTGTGTTTCTTCGGTTCCACTACTTTCTTTCAACCTTTAAGAGGTAGTATTTCACAGAATTTTCGAGATAACAGGTGACAACTGACCTTTACAGAAATATCATGACCGTATTCCTGCCGTTCTTCCTGCTCGCCTATCTGAACTATCGTATTGTGCGAACCCTACGAAATCAACAACGATCAGCTCAGATGTTTCGACTATCGAGTGATCACAAGGTACTGACCACGTTGCTAAATCATTAGTACTCCATGTTACTCACATGGTCATAAAGATAGTGAGGATGATCCTTAGAGACTGGGTTCGATGGTGGTTTCACAAACTGCTCTTACATTGATCTTCTCTTGCTCTAGGAAAATTATGTGTTGAATTACTTGGAAACAGCCCATAGGCCTCGTAACACAGTTTTTCAAAATGATTGATCAGCTCTTGTCTGACAAATTCAGTCACCGCGGGTAATGCACAAGCGTCGAGGAATCATCAACAAAAAATACTTCGCAGACCCTATTGATAAATCCGCCAGCGAATTCTCGAGAAGTTTCTCGGCGAAAATCTGGGTGTTCCTTTTATGGACAAAGAGAGCAGAGAACAGCAAATCTGTCTCATCTGATATTCCCTTGGTTCGTCCTCCATTGAATGTATACTATCATTCAGTCATCCATCTTAAGAAGTTTCGAATAGTAAATAACCTAACCTTAAAGAGTGTTCATTTGCTGTGGTCCAAGGTGAAGCATGATTTGTTCTCACGAAGCTTAGGTAGATAAGGAGCAAACTTCTTCGAAGTGAGCCTCGAAAGACAACAACATCTGCCTCCATCCTGTTAAGTTATTGGGGTTGTTAAGTCGTAGCATCGGTCTCTTTTTTGTTGGAGTTACTTCATTGCGAATACTTAAAAAATGAACAGACTCAAAGGACGTGGGTACGTATCATCCTAGAAACCACTCGACATCAATATTTACACCGCTCGTCGTTCCCTTCCTCTCAAGACGTTGGACGTTAGGCTTAAAGGAATCGTTGACTGCCAACTGTAAGATAAGATAAGAGAGTCAAAGAACGGTCGAGCAGATGCGAGCCTAATCTAGCTCTTGCAGTCGAACAAGGTGTAAAGCCTAGAAATTCCGAGCACATGCTTGAAATCTCTACTGGCTATAATGTAGTTACTGATCAGCGAACCGAGAGGCATAGATTTTATTTCCGGTAACTTACCCTAGACAAAAGCTCGCTGAACAGCAAAATTTTTGGATCGGAATCAGAATCCTGCTAGCACTTATATAAATATTAGTGAACTACCACCAGTAATTGTTTAGATAAGGATTCTTTACCACTCCTTACGAATTTTCATTACCTGCGTTCTGGCGAGGCTGAATTAAGCCTGTTACCCTATTTTGTATTTTTCAAACTTCAAATGGGTCTGAGGTCATTGGAATAAACTTGCCATTTATGCTCCGCCTAACCTATTTCGATTCCATGTTGGAGATTTTCGTTCTATTAAAAAATGAATAGTCAAATAGATTGTATGTTTGAGATGAATTTTAAGTAATTAAAAGTCTTCCACCGCTTCAGAGCAAAATTCGTTCGGCCACTCGGCTGCTGGTGCTTATCGTTTGCTCGTACCTTCTTGCCAATGTTCTCAATGTCCTGATCACCCTTTGGGAATATGTAGCTTTTCAATCAACCCAAACTCAGGAGGCCTATGTGGTGAGTCACATGAGGCGTGTTTTCTGCGACTCACGAGGATTTACGGACGTCAACTTATTATTTACAGATTTACGAAGCTTGCACCGACGTGATTTCAGTTCTCTACGTGCTGGTCTGTGCAACCCGATTATTTGTTTATATTTCTTGTAACAAAGTAAGTTCCAGACCAGCTTTACGGTTGTTCATTAAATTTAACTTAAACAACAAATTTCACAGGAAATTAGAGACGCTATGCTGACTCAACTCTGTCCAAATGGATCGCATAGGGAAAAAAATAAACATTGTAATACCTCAAAGTCGTGGTGAGTTAGTCATGCCACTTTCTTTTCAGAGGAATTCTGCTCCCCTTATGTGTCCTCTTGCACTTATGCTTTTAGTAATTCCTTCAGAAACAAAGTTTGAAGTAGAAGGGATTCAGTAATATATCGAATAACTAAATTTCGGTACCTCGACCTTGACCATTAATTACTCGTATAAGCAGCGAACCGGATAAATCAAGCCTCGCATTCATATGTATGTATAACTAAACAATTCCGAGCATGACTCCTATAAAATGCCTGCTGCTAACCGGAAATGAACTACTCTCAGCCTTTATGCATGACCACCCTATGGACGTATCAAACTTGCCATCTTATTCCTGCTATAGTCTCATTCGATCATTGAGTAAACAGAAGAGTTTCAGCTTAACTGGAGGACAGCACTCTCATCAAATTGGCACTGATGTAGATTCGATTGCAATTGCTATCGCACGACGCCTGATCCGTAATGAAGAGGTCGCCAACAACGTCGAGGAGGATATCGCCCAGAACAGCCCTCTTCAGTCAATTGTCTATGCGAATGATCACAGACGTACCAGCGAAATTCTCTGAATCGTCTTCCAGGAGAAATTTTTCCCATTTATATATTATCAGCTCTTATTTTGCTCAATGTGTTGCTGTTCTGAAGAAGATTCAGTGTCTTGTTAGATGAGCTGTTGTTCTTTGTGAACTGCGCATTCATCATACTGGTATACAGAGACGTAAGCCAAAATGCTATGGAAATTGCTTACCTTCTATTGAATGCTGTTTAGACAAAACATTTATACATTTTCCCTCATAAAAAACCTTGCAAGTGAATCGAATGTTCCTTCACCATACAGATGAATTGACGCCATCGAGTTAACCGCTACTCACCACTTTACAAACAGACAACTTCTTCTTCACTTCCCTAATTCAACGCGCCGAGATAAACCATGCTCTTGTGTGGCATCTGGTCCCGGCAGTCTCAAATTTCACTCTTTCCATATATGGTTATTATTTCACTTGATATGAATCAAAGAAAGTCTCCTCTTTCTCTATGAGTCTTTCCTGTTGTTGGAAGCTTTGTGATACTCCAATCACCTGTTCACCTGTCATTCTGCTGATCAGCGATTTTTCGAGCGGGCGTCAGTAATGTCTCCAATCGTCCTTGTTGCTATCCAGTTGGTCCACTGCATTNCCCTTGCACAACGAAAGCTTCGAACGAAGGGCATAGCATTCCTTTCGTTCATAGGTTCCGTGAAGAAGTCCGACGAACGCGCTGGCGCGCTAAAGGGATCCATTCGGAAACTTCTTGATCCGACGGTCATCACGATATCGCGTAACGTGTCTAGCTCGCTTGTTCTACGATTTCTTGGCGTAAGCAACGGTGACCCTGTTCTTAGTTCTTTGACGGAGCGTACCCTCTCCGGGCACTTGCGTGTATAGGGAAATCCCAGCGTTTTCCTTTCCATAGCTCGTTGAATGACGTGTGCATCCTGTTTTCGTGGAGTCCAAGTCACCGAGGCGTGCGTCAAAGCAAGAAGGAGAGCAGTGCTGAAGAAGTGAACGCGGGCCGGATGTTCTTTGTTTTCTTCACCAATCCCTCGATATTTTCAAATGCTCCCTCACACCGAGCATTTTTTCTACTCAGCTCCGGTGCTAGGTCGTTCATCATATTGACTTCTCAGAAAAGTACAAGAAGTTGAAACGTTCAGAGATGTTCGTTTCGGTCAGCGGGAGAAGAGCACCAAATGCCTATCCGCTCCTCATAAACATCTCCTTCTTCCACTAGCGCTGTCGAATTTGGCCAGCATACTGCTCTGCTATCTCTTTTTTTCTCTCCCTTTATAGCTTCTTTGCGTAGTTTCGCATGTTTGAACATTTGTTGATAACTGTCTGTTACTCGCGCAATTCCGTGCTGGCGTATCAGCTCAAAAGTCTGCGGAGAGAGTCGTCCCTTGTCTGCTTGAAGACTCTCCGCTAACCTAGCACTATCGTACAATCGATGCCGGTTGTTCATCGATGTTGTCGACAAGGGAGTCTTCCCGGGAGACGGGCGTTAGGAACGATTTTGGGTAATCGATTTGCCGCACGCGGCTGTCGCGGACCACTCATTCGCCGTTATTACAGCTCTAGCATTCTTCATACAGCTCGATCGATATGCGATCATTATTTTATGCATTATTCTACTATTAGTACTTTTGTTCTTGTACTTCTTACCCACCGCTGCATCCTGCTACCTTCCTTCGCGCGCGACGCCCCTCTCATCGCGACGCCACCATTTCGTTCCTAACGCACCACACCAGGGTCTTCCTATCTTCCCAGAAACACTGCGGATTCCAGAAATTACCAAGGAAGCGAAGTGGTCCCAGATGACATGGTTTTGGAGTTTCATTCACCGAACATCGCAGCTTTCTCTACATGCACTATACAAAACAGAATTTCACATAGGAGACATGACCCGTCAAGAATTTCGCAACAATAGCGTGGTCAAAACTCAACTCAAATATCAAAATCAAAACGTCAACAAAACTATCGATTAAAGGTGATGTAATATATTTCATTATGGAAGTGTATTTCAAGTGACCTCCATGTCCATCGCAGTGAGAGAGCTTTTAAAGCCGCGAATGACCACGGATAGTGTAGGTCGAAATGATAATTTTGAACGTTCGTCCTGTTTGTTCCATTTCGTTCCGTCCCGATCTGTAGTGAGACTACACTCTCATTCACTCGAATACCAAGGTTGTGAGAGTGTAGTCTCACCTCTGCGTTCAGGACGGAGGCGTCCTTTATACAGCGCGTTTCATAGGTATAAGATCACCCTCAAATTTGGTATTCACAGGATAAGCAGCCAAACAGCTAGGTTTCAAGCACTACTATCAGATTCGCCACCTTGAATAACCCCCACTCACGGGCATTTTCTGGATCATCTTAACCATAACATTTCTGTAGATAATTCTTAGTTTTTGCAAGTATAAGTATAAGATCGAAGAAGTTTGAGAAATTTATCATGATTCACTTTAAAAGGAAACAAGTAATAGTCAACGGGTCTTCCTTGGTCAAGCCCAGTATCGAATAGCCTACGTAGCATACTCGAAGCAAGTTTTCGGAGTACTTCACTGGGAATTTCATTGCTGCTGCCTGCTTGAGCTTTTTTGTCGCTGGGAATGACGGTTGTTCGATAAATCTTCATTAGGTTCTCCATCGAGTTCAGATCGGAACTGCAAGCTGGACATGCCAGAACTTTGATATTCTAGGAATGAAACCAGCCTTTCGTGAAATGACTAAGGTGGATCGCGACATTGTCCCACTGGAAAGCATTGTTGAGACCGCGTGGCCGCCTGCGAAAAGGCACCAAATGCCATTAAAAGAGTTCCTGGTAGCCTCTGGAGTCCATTCTGGAGGTCACGATATCAAGACCATCACGACATCATTGCAGAAGGCACCGGTACCTCCAGACACTTCCTCCTTCCTGATTGCGGTGGCTAGAGTTGAACGGCTCTCTCCGTAAGTCACACCATTAGAAGTTGGAGCCATCGGGGTCCATTATCAATTTCTTTTCATAGGGAAATACGACCTGGAAGAGTGTATTTAACTATATGGCTGATCACTAATACAGGCTGACCTTCGTCCATCTCTTCTGGAACTCAATTTCGCAAATTCAAATCGTGCTTTTATGTGGTGGTCAGTAAGCCTCGAAGCCCTTGCCTTTGCCTCCTGATTGTCTCCGTTCTGAATTCTGTACTACAAAGATTCCGATGTGATTTCCCATCTAAAGAATGATGAACTGGGCGAAGCAAAGTGCATATTGTTTTCAAACTACTTGCGACACATTCTCTCCTATACAGTGCAAATTCTGCTACACTCGATTTCGATAACTTCGTACTGTCGGGGATGAGCTTATAAAAACTGTATATATAAATGGTAATGTAAAATTCGAGCAAAGGAAAGCACGTATATGGGAGTTACTGCAGGTGATTAATCTAATAGTTATGCAAGAAAGATATCTGCTTGGCTGCTAATCTTCTGACTACCGAATTCTATGGTGATCTCATACATGTGAAACGCAGTGTAGATGTATATCATGAAGTAATCCGATGAACACTCGATTTTGATCACTTTCACGATGAAATTGGTTCTAAAGAATCTAAAGAAGAAGTAGTGAAGGTAAGAAGGCAAATGCTGCTGAGCAAGACCAGACTCGATCAACGCTTAGCGAATCATCCTTACTATATACAGGGTGTCCCAAAATTATTGGCGACCAATCCAGCAATTTCTAAGGTAGTAATAATCAACAAATTCACATTACCTGCTATTGATTAGTTGCATAGGAAGGTTTCCTCGCAACATGCATGGCTACTGATGTGGAACTCACGATATGTTTTAGATAAAGGATCATCCAGTGTCACTTGCAATTATCATTATAATAATCTCAAGGAATTTTATACTGCCCTTCCACCTCTCGCGACTTGAAGAGGTGGACGGGCAGTATGAAATTCCTTGGGATTTCTACAATAGCCATGCAGAAGGCAATCAAACGATATGGAAGAGAAGACTAAATCAGGCAAACCACGAGAGGTAGAAAGAGCAATGTTCCCAAAGATAGAACTATTAAAATGGTCAGTCGGTCGAGATCATGGGTGACATCAAAAGGAAGTCGACGGGCATTTTTCTATCGTGTGCAGAAACTTCGCCTCAATTCCGATCTCAACAGAGACTGCAGGGCCAAAAAATGCAGAAAGTATCAGACCCATTTAAGTGATGACAGATAAAAGGATGTTATTTGCTCTCTTCAGAAAACAAGATAAAGTCGCCGCCCTTTGTACCGGTACTTTAAGACGTCTCTGGCAAAGAGGCTTCGAATAGCTATGAAAAAGTAGAAACTCACGCACGATTCTTTTCTTCTGTGTATACGGCATCGGTAGTCAATTTGGATTCAGCTCTAAAGAGTAGTTACCAACCAGATTCTTCATCTCCTATGATACCCCCCACAGAGGTTCATCGAATTCTGAACTCGCTGAAAAGCTCTTGCTCTTAACCATTCGATGGCATTCCCCAGATTGTATATAAGAAGTGTGCTCGCTCTCTTTATAAGCCCACGTGTATTATTCTGAACGCTCCCCTGATTTTCTGTGAAATTCCTTCCATCTGGGAAGAATTCATTATAACAGCTATTCCAAAAGTTCCGAATGCGAAGGCAGTGTCATCATTCTGCCCAATTAGCATCACTAGCCCTACGATTAAGATGCTAGAGAAAGTATACGTGACAAAATCGAACTTCGTTTGACTAGGAACAATCTTATACCCCCTGAACAACATGGGTTCCTGATGGGTGCTTTTACGTGCACGCTGATGGCTAACTGTACATTCGACTGGAATTTGGCTATTAACAAAGACCAAGGTGTGGACGTGATCTACTTCGACTTATCAAAAGCTTTCGATAAAGTCAGTCATGATAAACTTCTCTTCAAACTCCGAGAACTAGGTGTCAGTGGAACACGTTTTGAATGGGTACGTTATGGTCTTATTTGAGTCTTAGGTACATGTGCGTGATAGTCGAACTCTTTCTCGAGGCCATACCCATGCACCAG